ACATTAAAAATCATACACCGGAAACTCAGTAAAAATCTTTTTGTTTTAATCAAAGACTGTTGCAATTTTTTCTCTCGCTTTATCCTTCTTTTTTTACAGGACGACGAGCCGTGCAACAAAGCGCCATGTAAGAACGGAGCGACTTGCGAACCACTGTGCGACGATCCAGGCTTTCGATGTAAATGTGGGGCATTCAACACAGGTCAATATTGCCAGTTATGGACAGGTAAATGTTATTCTATTTTTGACTGTATTTAATTATCTAGACAGATTTAATTTTCTAGTTTGCTGAAGTCAAGTCCTGTCACGTTTGAAAAAATTTATATAAAATAAGTCAGAAAAGTGTCTGACGTCGTGAATATTTCATGTTTTGACTCTCTAAGTCAAAGAATAGCTCATCATTTTTGGTTTGCAGGGCCGTAACCAGGGGGGAGCACAGGGTGCACGTGCCCCCCCCCCCCCCCCCCCCATGAAAGCTTAAACTCCGCTCATCCATCTCCTTTTTATTTGGTTCTGCTTTTTTTTTTTTTTGTTACCTTTTTTTTTTTTTGGTTCTGCAAATCATTGCCTGTGCACCTCTCTGCTAGATCCCTGGTTACGCCACTGAGTTGGTAATAAAAACCGATCAATGGTCCGATTTTATTCGATGTGCACGTCTCCCTGTAAAAGTTCTGGTTACGGCCCTGGTTTGGTACAGGAAAATATTGAAAGTTTGATTATTGGCGGCTATTCTTGAATGTTATAGATTTTAGTAGTGAGAAGTAGACACAAAAGAAAACAATCGAATTAGTGTCTACTAATGTGTATTAGTCTAATATCTATTTCACGGGTTTAGTGACTTCACTCTAGTCAAATAGACACAAAAGAAAACAATGGAATTAGTGTCTACTAATGTGTAATAGTCTAATATCTATTGCACGGGTTTAGTGACTTCATTCTAGAATGAAGAATTTAGCAATGTAACGTCTTATGTTTTTTTGCTCTGTAGTTGACGTTTCATCATGTCAAGATATTTTTAACAAAACCAGGTAGAGTAATTCACGTTTATTCAATAGGACGTTTGCATGATGGTGTCATTTGACTCCCACTACCAAGATGCTTCGCGAATTTTCTTTCTTATTCAAATTCGTATTCTCTCATGAGAATAGTAAGACAATGGGTGTTAATTAACTGAACAAAAGAAAGTTTGCAAGGGAGTCTGGTAGTAGAGGTCAATGACGCCATCGTGCAAACGTGCTATTATATATAAACAATACTTGACTACACCCCAATTGAAAAATGGCGAGCAACTAACACAATTCTTAAAATAATACCCCTGAAAAACCTTCTGTTGCAGCTATCGTACAGACATGGCCTACACGTATATGATCGACAACAAACAAACAGATATCTATTGTCATTTGTCAAGCGATCTGTGTGAAAGTAGGGGATGGACGCTGGCTATGAAGACTGACGG